TTTTTTTTTTTTTTTTTTTCGCTGATCTGGCTACCTTACCTAGCTGCTTCGCTGGTCCAAAATAAGCTACCTGTTCGCTTTGAATAGGTAAGCCAGCTGCTAGCTAGCTACCTAGCTCTGAGAGAGAGAACTACCGGTGGTAGAAAATCAAGGCCAAGCTTCGCCCTCAGCTACGCACGCACCTTGGCTTTTGAGAGTCGAGGGCACAAACTAACTAACGAAACTAACCTGGGAAAAAAAAAGAAAAAAAAAAGGGAAGGTAGGTGGGCTTGCAAAAATGTCTGTGGTGGAAGTTTGATGACTTGAGGTGGTGGAACTGATGAGGTTCACACCTCATATTGGGAGGAATCGAGTCGATTCGCCTAGCTCCAATATTCACTCATACACCCATCCATCCATCACATAATGTCTCTACTTGGCACGTCGCCGTACCTTCCGAAAGGTTTGATAGGTCTAAGCATTGCGCTGTGGATACCCCGCCCGACGAAAATCAATACCTACTACCGGTACCGCCGACTACTATTATCACCTGCAGTTTCCCAGCGCCGGAAGCTAGCCCCAGGTCTCGTTTCAGGCCCTGGAGCAGGTTCTATACTTGCATCTAGTCAGCTGCGGCTTGCGAATGAATCATACACCCCTGCTTTCAAAAAGGCGTAGGCCGAGTCCTCGCGGTTGTCGTCAAGTCGCGAAAGCGCATCCTCGCTAGGTCGGTTAATCCGCTCGCTCACGGAGAGCCCCAGAACCGAAGTATCTCAAAGAGGGATGCAGATCAATTCATCGTGAAAATTCAAAGAAATCCGGTTCATCTTCAGACTCGATTGCTTGGAAGAAGGAGAGAAAGGTGCGCACGTATGGGTTTTGGCTGACAGGCGCCCTTGAGCTTGGATGGATGTGATGAGAGCTGGCTAGCAAGCTTCTGTGTACCGGTTACCTAGCTTGCTTAAGAAGCCAGCTGGCGACAAATTGAGCTAGGCTCAAAGAAGCCTGACGCTCCTCATGATCTCATCAGGGCCATTCTGAATACGTGAAGTGTGGCCCGGGATGGCGGGTGGGGAAAAATGACTTGCAAGCAATCGATCGCTGCTGAGGACTCATAGCTCTGGGAGAGTAGCGCTGTAATACAGACCAATCTAATCAAAGGTCTTTATCCTGTAACATACCGACAGCCTTTCAAGGCATTGAAGGTTGTAGTCCGCGTTCTCCTGTGAGTATAAACACAAACGTTTTGATAATATTGATAATGGTTTTGAACATCTTTTACTTTTTACCCGGGTTTTTTATCCGAGATTTCAAAAGCTGAGTGTTCTTATTGATTTTCGAGAAAAGAAGCAGATCTTCGGGAGGGGAAAATGGTGCTGCTAACTATTTTTGGACGGTGGGGAAAAGGGAGAAAAAGCAGAAAATCCTGTTAAGGCTTGATAGAAAGGTGTCACGTCTCTGTAAGTTTTTCTGCTTTTTTTTTTAGAGACTTCCCTATTCTTAAGAGCGTATCGGCATGGGGGAGACCTTTTTATAAGTATTAGTGGTATTAAGGGTGCACAGAGGGGTACCTTAAGACAGAAGTGGATGGTTTTATTAATAGGTGTTTTTCGGAAAACGCAGGTTGGGAATCTGTTGCCGTCAACCCTGCTAACTCCCCTCAGTGGCCGATTAAGGCACGTATGCGGCCACCTACTTTGAGATTTATATCGGAAGGTATTCGGTGGAGAAATATACCGACCAAGAGAAGATTGATAATCAATTCCCTTAGTCAGAGATTGCACGATTGTATTCGACTTGGAGGGCCAATGAAGAAGCATCTTTATCGTAAGCGAATCCAATGTCATTTCTTTTAGCAACGGCGAGAAAATCCGCTCTAGACGAATAGCCGCTCTAAAGAAGTATTCCAATAATTAAATAAAATCATTACCCAATATTTGAGCAAATCTAATCCCCCCCTCCCCCCTCCAAACCGTCACTCAAAAGCCCTCAGCAAAAGAGAAACTCGCCAACTCGCCAACTCACTGATTCCGTTGAGCCGGCTCTGTTCCACTATCTCCTTTAATATCATAATAATCCTCATCCTGCCAATTAACAGGTTTTCCCCCATAGCCTTTCACAAACTCTCTTTCCACATCGCATTTGGCTCGTAAATCCAATGAATTGTCATGCACAAAAACACTCGATGGAATCAGCATCTGCATCTGTCGTGACATACCCTGAACCCACGAGAAGCGCAGCGCTTCGGCAGGCTCTTTCACCAATCCCATTTTGACGATATAATCCATAATGGTGCGCTCGCCTTGGCCCCACAGTCGAGCTAACATATTCGTTTGGGGATTTGTCCAAGATTCCGGGATGTAGACTTTGTTGATCTTTTTCAACCTCCGCCTCGACGCTCTGACAGCACAATACCAGTTCCCATCTACATGCGGCAAGCGGTTAAGATCGTTTACTATTTGCAATCCGATTAGCCCCGCGTCGCAGATGACGATTCGATGGGGAAATTAACTCACACAAGTAGAAGCCAGGTCCCAATGTAGCATCTTGTGGTGATCGCTCTAGGAGAAGTCTGTTGCCTTCTCTATTGATGCGCTCGCCCAGCTCCTGTCGATTCGCGTAATTAGTATAAGCTTGTATTATGTAAAGTCCAAGGGGAAACTTACTGCGGAGACGCTTGCATAGCCAATGGCTTTGCCTCGCAGGAAAAAGGTTCCGGGAAGTCCATGAGCTTCACCGAAGAGGAAGCTCACGGCTAGCAAGACTGCGAAGATCGGCTTCGATTGGAGCATCGTGGATAATGCGAATTGACCAAGGAAAAAAAAAAAAAAGGCTGGGACAAGAAGAGACTGATGGGTACGAGAAGAGAATGATGAGTTGATCTTGATGCAGGTGCAAGAAGAACTATATAACTCCTTCTTTCAATCGTATTCGAAATTTCCACCTCGGCTATAAATAATCGTGCGGCTACTAATAATAATCAGCGCATGGATCAGTACCACAGTACAGCCTCAATAATTACCGCCCTGGAGGTGGCTCAAAAGCTCAAAACCCCACTTTATAAACACCCTGGTTTCCTAGCCCCGAGGCGCTAGTTATCACGCCTAGGAGGTAGTACTACGTATATTCATCGGTTTATTTTTATCTTGACGATGATCTTTAATATCCTCAGTCGAGATTTACCCTTGGCTAACTATTCATAGTGCTACGTAGCATGAAAGAAAGACGAGGAAGAAAGAATTATAATATAGATAGGCTCGAAGTATATGCATTTGCGGCAGCCGGGATGTTACGTGACCTGGCTGGTTAATATTCATCAGCGGACAGGTGAAACTTGATCACTTGGGATAGTTTTTAGCTACATTTTCACCCCATCGCAATGTTTTGCCTTGCAATGAATATGTTGGATCGCCGGTAGCGAACGTTCGTATCAACTAGCGTGCAGCGCACGTAGCTTCTTGCAATTGCAAAACAATGGGTAGAAATGGTACTTGATTTCTGTCTGCTCCCCAAGGCTCAGGGGAGCTGATTTCTTCTATACGATTAGAAGGAATCACGTGCACTCGCTATATAAGAAAGAGTACTTGCAAGGAAGTTGGGGGCCCCTTGCGGCTATGCCACGCTAAACGAAGCATGCTCCGTGCCTGAGATAGCCGAACAGTTCCCTCCCAACTACGTCGGGTCGATATTGTACCGACAGAATAGATGCATCTTTATAACTATGATACACGTTTGTAAAGCTACATTCCTCGAGTATGTGAATGCTTTTTTTCTATGTTTTGTTTTTTTATGTTTTTAGGTTTTTATTCATCGTTGCTGTTTAACAGGTGTTTTGATGAAAGTGTACCGGCCTTGATGGTGCCGACTTCCTCGTATCTTCAACGTAAGCGAATCCAATTCCATTCCATACCCTCCCCTCCAGCGACGGCCAGAAATGCGCTTTAAATAAATAACCCTCTCTATAAAATAAACCTAGTACTAAACAAATCAATAAATCAGCGCCCCCCTCCCCACCCCGGCGAAAATGTAATTTGAAAGCACCCTTCCCGTCCACCCCACCCCCCTCACTCCATCAAAACAGAAACTCGCCAACTCGCTAAACCAAAACAACAGCCAGATAGGCAGACAGACAAGGACAGTTAAGTAGCAAGGACGAATGAATAGCATGAATGAAATCGATGGATCGGTTGAAGTCTATTGAATTGAACAAGCCACTCCCTCTTAGTTACGCTACTTGAATAAAGAAATGCACCGGTCTATTAACTCCCAAACTCCCTTATTATCCCCCTCTTCCTTATCGTCCCCCTCCTGATTGCACCACTTAAAGTAATACTTGCTATTTAAATTGATCCTCCGCTCAACTGACTCCTACAATTTTCCACTTTTTTGGATCGAACCATGGGACGATTTCGCTCGAGAATGCCCTTAGCTCAGCTAATGTTTCAAAGCATTGGGCCCACAGCTTCATATCGATGGATTGTATCGTTCTTTTTGGAATAAGCATTTGCAGCCTGTCGTTTGAGCTTGGCGCCCATGCGAAGCGAAACGCGTCAAAAGGTTCTTTCAAACTTTTGAACGTCACAGAGTACGTCATGATATCGTGTTCGTTTGCTTTCCATAAGTCTATTTCCTCACCCGTTTCTTGACTTGTGTAAGTGTTCGGGATGTAGAGTTTTCCGGCGCGTCTGATCCTTCTCTTACTCCCTTTTACTACACAATACCAATCCTCTTCTCTACCGACTCTCTGCAATTTACCGGGGTCGTTCACTATTCATATTATTAACTCCGCGTAAGAGATGACGGTCTATATAGATTGACTTACCTAGAGAAAAGCCTTCTCCCAATTCCCTTGAGGGATGCTCTGGATATGGAAAGTTTCTTTCGTTGATCCAAACAGCCAGCTCCTGTAATTCGCGTAATAAGTATAAGCTCATACTACATAAATCAAGTGAAACTTACTCTGGGAACTGATGCATAACCAACGACCATTTGTCTTTTGAGGAACTCGAAGTCCAACATGGCTTGAGCTCCATTGAAGAAAAGGCCCAAGGCGAGCAAAGTCGCGAGGATAGACTTCGATTGTAGCATCGTGTTTATGATTAAGTAATAAGTTGATGAGAGGAAACAAAGCTTATAAAGGAAGAAGAGGATGATGATGAATGGTGTTCGGTGCAGGTGCCAGAAGAGCTTTACGTCTCTTTTATATACCAGATGCGAAATCTCTACGTCGGCTATCATTGATCGTGCGGCCAATAATAATCAGCGTACTCAAATACTATGTTTACTCTTTTTATTTTTATGTTTCTAAGTTAAAGATCATCTTTATTACCAAGGCCGTCTTTTCCCTCGGGTAACTATTCGTAGTATTGCAATCTTCGTTTTTAATCTAAAAGGTTCGACGTAATTACCGCATAAACTCGACCGAGTGGCGCGCCAGGCTGCCAACAACGCCTAATCTCTATTTCTCACCTGGTCGGTGCATGAAACTCGTAATTACGCTAGAGCTATAATTATTGTAATTAATATCTCTTTACTACTCTCCCCCCCCCATGAATAAATGTCGGACCCAGTTTAGGCCCATAAATCATAGAGCGGTGGTTTCTGAATGGCTCAAAGCCCTGTCAACTCCACTGTATAGACTAAATCCTGGCTCAAAGATAATTTTCAAAGCTGAATCCTTATAAGTTGATTGGTTCAAGCCCTGGTAAGATCCTTTGCGAAATTATACTTTCGACATTTATTCATGGGGGGGGAGAGTAGGTAATTGGAAGCCACGGGAGTCAGTGCGTCAATCTTGTGGAGTCAACAGCCCCGCCAGCCACCTTGGAGGGTTTATGCGGTAAGTACTTGATAAGCTATCAATTAAGTTTTCAATATTCCTTCAATGGCCCAAGCCCGAGCTTTCCTGGAGTCGTGACAAGGAATACCGGGGTTTGGACTTTGATCGTGTTTACACATGTTTTTTTTTTCCCCGGACTATCCCCCCCCCATGAATACATGTCGAAAGTATAAATAATTTCGCAAAGGATCTTACCAGGGCTTAAACCAATCAACTTATAGGAGTCCAGCCTTGAAAAGCATATTTAGGTCAGTTTTTAGTCTGTATAATGGAGTTGACAAGGCTTTGAGCCATTCAGAAACCACCGTTCTATGATTTATAGGCCTAAACTGGGTCTGACATGTATTCATGGGGGTAGTACTATCTATCCATCCCGCCCGTAAGGGAAGGGATTGCCTACTCCTTTCAATACTCTTTTCAATTTGAATTGCATTCTTTCTGGAGTATTGTAGAATGATTTTAGGTCGATTCAAGAGAAGATCATTGCCATTCAAGAGTTTGGCGCTGGGAAGATCGATTCGGTAGGCTGTATATAAATAAACCCCCCGCATTGCACGTCTCCGTAAGCCTTGGGAGGTCCCAGGACGAGGATCGCATGCTAATCGTCGGCTCGCTTAAGTAGGCCTCCTTACAGCCTTTCAGTCTTAGTCGGCGTAAGCGATTGCGGATCGGAAGCGAATGCGGATTTTCTATTTTACTACTAGCTTTGTATACAACATACAACTTACAATATTACTTTTTAATTTACAATCGCATAATTCAATTGTATTTAATTAACTATCAGCCGAAAACGTATTTATATACCGATGGTTTGATACTTTAAATCGATGAAAAGCTTGCTGCTAAGCAGCAAGCTAAAAAAAAATAATCATGAATCTGCTGCAAAATAATAACGAATCGTCGATAAGATTTAAACAAAAGAAAGAGTTGTTAAGTATCGTAAAGGGGTCGATTTACGCAAAGCTGAGCGCGAGCGTAAAAGGATTATACGAAAACGCTGCAAGCTTAATTATTAAAGACGACGATGTAATACTTATTTTAATTCTCGATTCGAAAAAGATTTAATAGTTGCAGCAGCCTTTTAAGCGTTAATTTTTGCGGCCTCGTAAAAAAAGTATTCCTCGACCAACTCTTTCTCAACCTAAATCTTTTCTCGGTAACGATAATTTAATAATTACAACCGATACTTTTAAAGACCCCTCTTTAGAACAAGATATTTTTCCTTTTCCTAGTATTAATATCGATAGCGATAGCTTCAATTTTAATAATATGAAAGATTTAAACGATTCGTTGCGTAAGGTAAAAGACGAGTCAAATTCTGATAAAAATAATAATCGATAGTTAGATGTTTCATCGGATCATACGATTTTAGATATTTCGGAAGAAAGTATATTCGTAGAATCAATTGTTTCTATAAGATTTCTTAGTTATAATAAAAATAATTGCTATACTATAAAAGAATTTCTAATAAATTTAAAAAATCCGTATTCGCTTCCGATTCGCAGTCGCTTACGCCGACTAAAACTGACAGGATATAAGGAGGCCCAACTAAGTGAGCCGACGATTCCGCTAGACGTTAATAAATACAACAACAATAAATACAACAATAACAACAATTCGTAGCCTAAGCTGAGACGAAAGCACCCAATCAGCGCAGTGGCCGCATTTTTAATAGTTTACTGACTTAGCCATGATCCATAAAACGCTTAATGTAAAATCACAAATTGAATTGGATTGACTAGTAGCCATCAATCGCACATACATACATATACACACAAAATATATACATAGAACGAAAGGAATAAAGGCACACTCGCTTCGCTGAATAAAACCGGCCACCAATCCATAAATCAAAACAGCGTAATAATAGCGTAACAGCAACAACTTTTCCGTCTTCCCCTTCTCTAATCCCAGCGCCACAAAGTCCCGCTGCGAGATAGCAATGATAGATACTGTGGTGGAGTTGAGGGTCTGTATTTGTTTTGTCCATGTAATAGTGGGACTTGACGTCTCCACTTTTGGGGCCCTTCCCTAAAGTGGGCGAAAAAATTATGTCCCGCTTCAAGCTTCAGCGTAAAAAACGACGAAAAACGTTGATAATCTAATATAATATTCTCAAAAAAAT